TCTATATGACACTTTAAGGGACAAACAAATTGTGAGGACTTCTATCTCCCTAGGGAAAAAAACTGCCCCAACTTCTCAATGAGAAAACAAGAGGAGACAACAAACCATCGCAGTTCTTATGCTGTCTTCAGTGCTTAGCCAAAGGAACCAGACGTGACAGCTTAGTGCAACATATTTTCCTCCAGCTCCTGCCTCCTACTTTTCATATGATCTTAGTCTCAGTAGGGAGGGATACACCCATAGATAAGTTGGTGGAGATCACCGATAACATAGTGTATGTAACTTCAACCCACATGATGTCAATAGTTGGCATCCAGAATTCAGAGTTAAACCACATGGATAAAATCTTAGAAACACCAATAGATGAATTGACATGACCACATGCTACGAGTAGAGATTGCTTCTGTTGTCATTCAATGGAAAGGAGTAAGGACCCTCTGTGTCAGTTACACAGGAAGTATGGGGATAAAGTCGAACCAGGGGAAAGACTAAACTGGCAACTGAAGACAACTTGGTGCACATGCATGGCGGAAGTCTGTTTCCTATTATTTGTGTCTGACTGCATTACTGTTATCAGTTTTCTGGTGGACAGTGGCACACAAATTTCAATAATATCTGCTAATAAAGAAGACAGATTAAAGGGGCCTCATAAACTTACCCTTCAGGCTGTCAACAAGTTGCTTATCCAGACTTACGGCCATTGAACTTAGGCCTAAGAAATTTTACACATTTTTTTTATTATAGTGAAGGTGTATTAGGTGCTGATTTTTTTGTATAAATATGGCCTCCTTATTGATATCAACAAATATTGTCTGATAGATCCTAAGACTAATATTAAATCACCAATATCTATTCACAATACTATCCTGCTATGTTTTATCATGGCAAATATGGAGGACAACACTGAATTTTGTGAACTTTTAAAAAAGTTTGAAGGTATCATAAGGCTGTCCTTCCATAGGGAAACATTACCTCATACAGTTATACATCATATTGCAACCAGTGCTCTGCCAGTTCACAGCTGCCCTTGGTGGCTGGTACCAGAAAAACTGAGGGCAGCAAAAGCAAAATTTAGCCAAATGCTAGAATAAGGAATAATATATCCATCAAAAAGTAGCTAGGCTTTGCTATCACACCTTGTATCTGAAGATAGTGGAAACTGAGTGCATGTGGTGATTATAGGGTACTAAATGCTGTCAAAAAAACAGATTGTTACCCTATTCCCTATATACAAGATATAACAGACATTGAAACAAGGGAAAAAATATTTACTAAATTAGACCTCATAAGGGTATACCATCAAATCCCTGTCGGACCTGAGCATATTCCAAAGACTGTGATAACAACTCCTTTTAGTTTGTTCGAGTTATCATGTGTCCCATTCGGTTTAAGGAACACAAGACAGTTCTTCCAGAGATTTATTCATCATGTATTGGATGACCTACATTTTACCTGCGTCTACATTGATGATGTACTTATAGCCAGTTCCTCCATGGAGAAACATATATAATAATTATAGCTTGTTTTTGAGTGATTTGATAAATTTGGGGTCATTATCATCCCAGTGAAGTGTGAATTTGGAAAATTGGAACTGATTTTATTAGACCACCACATCAGTTCTGCTGGAATTTCCCCTTCCACATCTAAAGTGGAAGCTATTTAACAATTCCCTGAAGCTGATAGTATGAGAAAATTGCATCAGTTTTTAAGGATGGTTTAATTTTTTTCCAGCGATTTCTGTCCAGCTGTGTGCAGATAGTGAAACTTTGATGGATATGTAAAATTAAATCAGTATTGTTCCATGCAGGGAAATTATCTTATATTGTTTCAGGTAAGGAGTTGTGTTTGGCGGTCAGTGCCTCTTTCATTGATGTAGGTGCTTTATTGCAGCAGAAAATTGATGGCCAGTGGAAATCAATTTTTTTTTTCTCTAGAAAACTGTCACCAACAGAGGTCAGGTAGAGGACATCTGGACGGCAGCTCTTGTCAGCTTATTCAGTGGTTTGCTATTTTCGACATTTGTTGGAAGTGCAAACTTTTCGCATACTCACAGATCACAAACCCTTACTTAGGGCATTTCCAGTTAACATCAGATAAATATGCACTACATGAAACCAGACATCTGGATTATCTGATGCAGTTTACATGTTTTGCCAAAGGAACCGAAAATTCCCTGCAGACACCATGTCCTGCAATATTAATGCTTTCCTGCTAGATCCAAGCATAGAATACTCGTCAATGGTGGAAAAGCAATCAAAAGACCAACAATTTTGAAAGATTCTTGAAAACAACTCAACATCTTTAAAATTTTCAAAGATATCGGTCCTGAACACTAATTTCAAGATTGTGTGTGACATCAGCACAGGGTGATTGCACCCCTTCATTCCAGAAACAGTGCAGTGAACAGTATTCTTCACTCTGTTGCAGTTTTTTGGATATGTGTACTAGTGAGCTAGCCTAAATGAGTTGACTCATTTTATAGTTCACCAATAGAAGGGTTAACCAATCAGAAAGCTCAAAATATTCAATGTGACATGTATAAAGGCAGCCATTTTTTTTTCTCCCAAATTGTCTGAACTGCCAACCTGATATCTACTTTCTCTGAATCTTCACTGCCGACCTATGATATGGAAGATTACGGACTTCACTGGATTCCATATTCAGAGACTGCGGCAAACATGGTCAACACACTCTGTATAACTTATCCCATCCTGGTTCTAATACTTCAATCAAGCTAGTCACAGATATGTGTGGCCTTGAATGAAGTTTTATATTCAATTATGGTCAAAAACCCATGTTCCATGTCAAAAGGTTAAAATCAGAAGACACGCTTCCAGGCTCCTTCCCATCTCTAAATGAGTGATTCACTCATGTCCTACTGGTTCCCCCTACCTCTCTGCAAGGAGCACACTTACTTGTTGACATGTGTTGATTGGTTATCTCACTGGTGTGAAGCTCTTCCATTGTCAGACATAACAGCAGAGACTACAGCAAAAACCTTTGTGGGTAGCCAGTTTCAGTGTTCCGGCTGTCATCACCATAGACAGAGGTCAATAATTTGAGTCTGACCTATTCAAACAGTTGTTGAAACTTTTAAGGTGCAAGAGAATTAAGACCACTGCATATCATCCAGAAGTCAACGGTTTGGTAGAAAGATTTCACCAAACATTAAAATTAGCCCTGAGAACATTAACAGTTCAGGCAAAATGGCTGGAAGATCTACCGTTAGTTTTCCTTGTGCTATGTATAGGTGTAAAAGATGAAATGCAATGTTCACCTGCAAAAATGGCATATGGCACCACACTAAGACACCCTGGACAGTTTTTCCTTCAGCATCCACAAAAAGTGTTGAACATCACATCCTTTGTTGACAAGCTGAGAGACAGAATGGCCAATTTGGCCTACAAATTACCTACATAAAACAAAAATCCAGTATACATACCTAAATTCCTACAATCATGCATACGTTTTTGTGTGCAGCTCAATCAAAAAAAGTGCATTGCAGCCATCATACAGAGGACTATTCAAAATCCTGAAGAGACATATGAAACATTTTGCTGTGCGCATTAATAATGCAAACCAAAATAGTTGTCTGGATAGGGTGAAGCCAGCTTTTCTGGGTGCTACATGGCTGGATAGGGATACTCCCATCACTACTATATCTCCAGTAGCACCAGATTTACCAAAGTAAACAGTAACCAGGTCTTGGCACCATATTAAATAGCCTAAGTGTTTTGTATCTTAACTAGTTTCTTTTGGGTTTTTTTTTTCATATCAACTCTTGCATAGAGGACATTTTTGCACTATTGGCTGGACATGATAAAAACATTGAGGGACTTTTAATATACATCGCATGCATATTCTTTTGTATACAGTAGTTTGTATAAAGTGCGTTCCCACATTTCTATTACATCAACAACATGCAGAATAAAAGTAACTCCCTGTGGCAGGTTCTAGAACCTGTGTAGGAAGGGGGAACTTGTTGGATTACAAATGGTGATTCTCTCCCTTTCGTTGAGATAGTCATGAGAGCCACGTGACGGCTGGTGAATGACGTCAAGAGATAAACTGATGAAGGGCAGTTGTGATGTATTGCCCAGAGAAGAAGGATATCCATAGAGCACAGCGATATGTCTTACAGGAAAAATCACATGGCCTAACCAGTTTTCCCTTTGGAAATATTACAAGTAAGATTCCCCCTTTCTTGCACACCATTTGTTGTTGCATACATTATAATTTTACTGTGTATGACATGTGTTTATCTCTATATATCTAATTTTGTGTGTGATGTAGCATGATAAAACTCTTTGAGAAGTAAATATGTTTGTCATTCTTTTTCCATTCATCTTTTCCGTTACGTCAGTGATATACTGGTGTTGTTATATCATGGATATAACAATGCTCATAATGGTAGAAACGTAAATGGCAGAATAAATCTTTCTTCCAAGCCCTCCCATTACAAAAACTAAAAACTAAATAAAGATGTAAGAACAGAAGAGATTTGTTTATTTTCAGATTTAATGCGGCTCCTTTGAATTAATTTGAATCAATTTAAATTATTTGAGCCCTTCTAATTGAAATGGGTTTTTAAATTCAATGAGGCCCCTGAAAGGGAATCCATTTAGATTTTGATACATCTTTTTTTATATACATAAAGATTTTTGATGTAGCTTTATTAGTTTTGCTTAATTTTGTCTACCCAGCTCAGTTTTTTTGCTCAATTTACTCTTCATTGGACACAGATATGTAATAAGTGCAAAATTGCTCAATACTGTACAAATTACATAAAATAGCTCAATATTGTAAAATTAGACAAAAAAGTGCAAAACGAGGGGTGGCATTATACATAACAAAGGAGGCCCCAAATTTTATTAATCCAGGGCCTCTTACTACCTAAATCTGACTCCAAGTAGTAAAATAATCAAAAACCTATTAAAGCTATGATCATCCTTGATATGGTCCAATTATAATATGATGTCATAACGAGGGAGAATACTTACCATTCTAGCCCAAGTTGGGAAAAAACCTTTGTATAAAGAAAGAGCACCTTCAGCCTTCACAGTCTTTATTAAACAGTCCAGAGAAGAGTTGTAAAGGACACCCCTAGAAATATATATTAAAAAAGAAGGGGTTAATATTGAAGCTTAATTATGAATACATAATATTTTCACATGCTTAATAATACATACAATAATACATAATATATATACTACATAAAATATGATACATAATACATATAATAGAATAATACATAATATAAAATAATACATAACATATATAATAATACAATACTATATAATAAATAATAATACATACAATAATACATATTTTCACATGCTTAATTATGAATACATAATATTTTCACATGTTATCTAGGGTTTCATTGTAAAAAAAAAAGCAGAGCGTCTAAGGCTGTGTGGAGAGGGTAATGGATAGCAACTCAGAATGAGTAATCAGAGTACAGAGTTCAAATTCCAGTTGAGTTCGTTACATTCACTTACACACAAATAACCTTGGGAAAGATATGAATCTGTCTCCTCCCCATAGTTATGGGTTAAATAGTATGACATATCTGAAAAAAATCATTGTTATTCTCTAAAAAATTGTTAAAGCAATATTCACTTTAAATAACCCAGAAAGTGTTGAAAGCTATAAAAAAACAAATCAGTCATTGTAAGCTAACAATAAAAATAGTGATCAGGATTTTTTTGTTTGTTTCTTAAAGCACTAGCAGACACCTATGAAAAGCATGTACGTGTTTTTATAGCCAACAATGGCTACATAACTTAATATTAAGTTATGAAAACAGATTTGTATAAATATTTTTCCCTACCTGTTATATACCTATGTACCTATGAACACTAATTGGTATGTCCCAATCCTCATAAATACACTGGACACTATTGTAAGTGGGGGTAATATGCTGTCTAAATAGTCCACCACTAGCAGTGGTTTACCTACTTCACGCCACTGGCGAGTATTGTATTTTGTCGATGTTATAAAGATTACCATTTCATTTCCAACTTCTGTTCTAGTTATTCCTCTTTCAGGAACCTTTTCTAAGTTACAACACTACCCAATTTCATAAATTTAATTTTTGAAAGTTATTCAATTGTATTTTTGGTTTGTTTATTTAATAATTGTTAATTTAATCTCAATACCCATATTTTGTGTAATTTTGAAGCAATTTTGGAAATTTATTAAAAATATTTTTCATGGTTCTCCTATTTTATTATTATGATGAATCTTCATTCTTAAGTTACTGATTGAGTAAGCTCATGACAAGTTCTACTACAATAAAATATCAGTAAAAATTCCCCTATCGCATCGTTAAATATTTGAGCTTAACAACTTTAACAAAATATTACAATAACAATCATAAATATGAATGCTGGTCATTATTTTAAGAAGTAAGGGGGTACAAATGAAAAGATTTCAAATTGACAATTTCAATTAAAAAAGCTATTAAAATTGACAATTTCAATTAAAAAGCCATTAAACACTTCTATCTTCCCTTTTTTCATTTATTGTGGTGTCATTTCCACTCTTTCAAATCAGATCAAAACAGAATAGTCCATTATTTATAAGGTATTGGCAGGGCGTAATGGTTGTGCGAACTAACAAAGGTGGGGGACAAGCACAATTATAATAAAATATAATTTTTCAGGTGTATGAATATTTATTTCCCCAACCTGTATATAATATAAATGCATTGCTTATACTTTTACTATAGATATGCACAGCAAGACAACAAATTCCTGATGAGACTACACCCATGGTGACAAGGTCAAAGACAAGTATCCAGATTAAATGCAACCAACCCCAATAGTAGAACAAGCAGATGATGATTACAACAGATCTCAACAGTTGAACCAGTAAATGAAGAGGGCTACACCTGACAAACATACTACAGAGGACAACATTCAAAATTATAACAGTGTCAATCTACCCCCATGGACTAGATAAAGGGTTTGGTTTGAAATACCAACATATATTACCTGAAGAAGGTCAGAGTTTAAACATAAATATAGCAATAAAGTCCAAATGGTGTAAATAGTTACAATACCCCATCTCTGAAATATACACAGATATTAAGTAGCACTTAGTGTTATTTCCAAACCAGCACAGACATATAGATGCATAGAATACAACATGTTTTGTAACAATTTTTTATTATGTGTTGGGGGGGGGTGTCATTTAGCTTAATTTAGCTGTACAGTATCCTACCAAAGCCCAAATGAAAAATCACCATCAGCATCTTTATAACCATTTATTTCCAGTAAATGGCAGTTTCTTATTTTTCTCAAAATGGGCCAGCACAGCCAGGCAATAATGCTATAATAATGCAGCAGTGATAGTGTTAAGTGCCAGGAAAATGTGCAAAATTTCTTCATACCTAAGTTCATTTTGAAAGGACTCATTTTGTCCCAGATACAAATTGGCGACTTTTATACAAGTTTCATGAATGTCACACCTATCTATATCAAAATTGCAAATCTTTGTACCCACTTTCCATTCTTATGAGGCTGGTTCATAACTCTTGTTTTTACAACATCTGCAGGCGTGCTGACAATGGCAGCTACAATTCCAGACATTATGCTGAAAGAGAAAAAGAATAATTTGTTTTTTAAATTACTAATCATAAGTTTTTTTTTTTTTTTTCACATATGCACACGCATAGAATTAAAATTTCCTATATTTTTAAGGGAAGTGTTTATAGATATAAACAGTGTGGACATAGGGCATAACACCGCACGGTGACTATCAGTTTCATATTTCAATGTGATCTTCATTTTAAGGTTAGAACTTAGTCTGAAGATTACATTGAAGCCTGAAATTGACAGTTACCATGCAGTATTGACATATATATATATATATATATATATATATATATATATATATATATATATATAAGCAGCCTGTTAGAATTCAGCTTGTTACATGATATGTTAAACTATGTTAGGCCGATGTGATGTAAGCAAAAAAAAAAAAAAAGAAAATGTGAGTGGCCACTTAAAAAATTGCTAATCTAAAAGGGAGGTAACTATAAAAATTGAATACTTAGGACATAAATTAACAACGTACAATTACATAGAATTTACCAGGCATTATTTCAATTCCCTAGATATGTTTACAACACTAAAATGCATATTTAAACCCCCACCCTTTTTTTTTTTTTTTTACTAATCCGCAAACTATAAATGACTGTGAATTACCTCATTTTTTTATGATTTTCAATTGTGTGTACAGCCTGTTTTGCAAATGAATGCTATTAGGCAAATTTTCTACCTCATAGTCCATTGCATTTAAAGATTAAATTATAAATTTTGTTGTGATATATTGTTTAATAAAAGTGGTTAACAAATCTGTTGCATTTGGCTGTTCTAGTGGATATGTTACTAACAGTAAAAAAAAAGCATTGAAATTTTCTTTTTCTTTTGGAAAATCTGACTTCATAGAAAAATGGATAAAATTCATTAATCATACTGATTGGTTTCCTATGAAAAATTCAGTTCTCTGCATGAAAAATTTTGAAGAGAAATTTATTTTGAAAGGAAAACCAAACAAACTGAATTGGGATTTACATCCAATACCTACAATACATTTAGAAATAATAAGAAAACCGCCTCTTTTCCCAAATACAAAGGAATTCAGAAAGCCTCCAAAACAATGACTGGCCCAAACTGATGAATTATATGATTTTATTTCAGCTAATACTGTAAATGATTTTACTTAATTGGAAGAAGATTATATTTTCATTTATAGAATAGTCTCTGATCCTGAAACACATTTTCCATCTATATAAAAATGCATTTGCATTGACCAAAACCTTCACGTTTATCTCCAGTGTGACAGAACCCCTACACCATTACCCCAGTAGTTTATACATGGACATAATGCTAAATTCACAAGATTTATTATGTCTTTGGCATCTCTAAAAGGATTACAAAAAAGACAACATTATCATCCAAGAGGTTGTCCTTTATTTACTGCAGAACTAATATGTTATGCCTTACTAATGCCCTATACATCTTAACAAGCCTACAAATTACTTCTAGAAAAATTTCCATTACCATCTTTTTCTTTATTAGAGAAAATTAAAAAAATTTAAATGGTTTCATATGAAATGTGTTCCCTAGTCATGGTAGGCAATGATAGTGATGATGCTATAGAGAAGCAGTACTTTGACTTATTTTCTCGAGGAGATCCTATGGTTCCATCTAGCCAAATGGCAGAGTATGTTTGTGCTTGTATTGCTATACTTGACGATGCAGATAAATTTATTGTAAAACATAATTAATCCACTGCAAGAGAGTCAGCTGAAAGAATTTTGGAAACATATTCTCTAAAATATGTTTTTACTTGTGAACGACATACAGAATAATGAATTCACATTGCAGCAAAAATTGTTGTGAATATATTTTACAATAACAAATGAAAGTTTTCATCAGATGAAGTTCGAAAAAATATTGTAGAATGTTTTAAAAATAAAGGAAAAGCTCAAAAGAAAATTGATTTATAGAAAAACTGTTCGTAAGTTTTTTTTACTTGTATTTATTTTGTATTACTGCTGAATTCTTTAATAACTTTTTTGTTTGTTTACAACCTTATTATTACTTTTCTGTTTAAAAAGAGAAAAAAAAACAACATATTTGTTTATTTTTGTATGGTTTTAACTGGTTTTAGATAAAAAAAAAAAAAAAGCCATAAATTAACTAAAAACAAAATAGGCCTGTTAGAAATTATCCTGAAGTGTGACATGTGAGGACGTATATATTAGTCAGCATGGTCACTCTTCCCTGTTCGTTTGAACAGGAGTAAAGGTTTATCACTTGTTTCCTGTTTAGGATTTGGTTTTCAATTCCTTCTAAAGTCTTCACATTCTCTTTCACTCCCTTGCATCTTAGTGGCATTATTGCCTTGCTTTGGATGAATTGATGATTATATATATATATATATATATATATATATATAAAAAGGCTTAAACACCTGGATTCTATCCACTTGGAATTATTTTTTATACATATATATATATATATATATATGTATGTGTATGTATGTATATATATTTATATATTTTAGATATATGATTGCATATGTATGTGTATATTAACCACTAATATTATCAATATATATATATATATATATATATATATATATATATAAAAATGCACAACACAAAAGTTTTGGGAATTTAACCATTATTCTAACACCAAGTATCCAATGTCATCTTATCAAAATAGTTCCATCATGTATGAATAGTGATCTTATGAAGTACTCTGCTCACAAAGAGTTGCAACACATATTTAAATAGAACCATGTCTCTTATGAGACACACACACACACACACGGGTCAGGCTGAGAACTTTTCAGGTCTCTCATGAGAGACAGAAAGATCTGAAAAGTTCTCAGATGGACTCAATTCCCAAAATCTGAACAAATGACAAAATATCAGAGTTTCTACTGGAATCCCTTCTTGGTCAGTCTGAGAATTTTTCAGTATACACACACACACACACACACACACACACATAAATTCAAAATATAGATACACATTAACGGATCAATATCCCTTTTAAACTTACTATTAATAAGTTAGTTTATTTTTTCGATATCTACCTACCAACACTCAATATTTTTCATTTATAGCCCAATACTATATTATATTTATAATATTCTTGAACTTTAAATCCACATACAATGTAGCACTGCTTCCATGAGACCCAGAAATTAAAAAAAAAAAACAACCACATTGAACAGTTCATGACTTTTTGTACCTGATGATTGGCAAAGCCATGAAACTCTGAATTATACTGTATATGTAGGTATATGTGTAATTATTAATATATACTTTGTAGCTCTGTTTAACTACATTGATCACAGTTTTGTCTACACCACTGATTAAAAAAACGTTTGCTCACCTGTATGTGTGCATAATTGCTCATATATATTGTTGATTGTATCTCTTTATTAAGATCATTTCTACATCTCTCTCTCTCTGTATATATATATATATATATATATATGTGTGTGTGTGTACATATGTTGGAATTGTATTAGAATAATTCAATTTTAGTGCTTTTGTTAAGACAAACAGCTTATTAAGACAACTCTAAAAATGGTCAGAAAATTTGAGGACTCTGCAGAAAACTTATCTTAAAAAAAAAAAAATTAAATCTCATACAAATTTAAATTCTAAAATAGGAAAAGTGCTTCAAGTTACCTTGAAAGAAAATGTGTGACTACGTTGTCTTGTAAAGATGTGTGTTTCATGATAAGGTGTTTTGAAGTATCATATGTGGCCAAATCTGCAAGAATGAAAAAAAAAAAAATTATACAATATCCATGACAAGCAAACAAATATCTTTTCCATCAAAGTTAGATGTAAAAGGTTTTACTACCAAATCAAATATTCCATACCAACTGATACTGATTTCATTAATAAGAGGGAAAAGGTACAAGGCAAGACTTTAATAATAACTAGTGTACCTCTGCTATTGAAAATGAAGGCAATTGTTAGAAAGGTTTAATAGTGAAATGCAATAAAACAAAAGTTTTGTAACAACGTATTGAGATTCAATAACACGGAGATAAAGAATTCACAACTAAAATAGAGGCCAATGAATTGTTTTAATTAATCTGTTCCCTTTATATTTTTTCTAGACTTTCTATTGTATCCATTATACACTGATTACTCCTGGCATTGATTTTTGCTCAACATCTTTCATGTTAAAGATTTCATGTGGTTAATAACAGTGAAATGGAAATATCTCTTGGAAGAAACAGATTAGCAACAGAGCAACAAAGATGGTGGTGACAAAGCCTATTTCAAGACTGAGCTGAAAGAAAATGATCACTTAATTGAGAAAGATATCTGAGTGCCTCACATAAAAAGCTTAAACAAATAAGACTGCAATCTAAGAAACGTAGGAGTAAAAGAACCAATTAATTAAACAGTTCATTTTGCTCGAGGGCTAATTTTATCTAAATGCAGATAAATATTTTATTTGTATAGATTATTAAAATAACTAAAAGGAAGTAATCACTCATAAATTAACTAACTTAAATTGATGTACCTCTCCTCCCACTACAGGTGGGACAGGAAACATATATTTTCATACATGTTTCATTAAATAATATAGACAAGTGTTGTCTATTTATTTTATGTAAATTCTTTCATAATGTCTGATAAACTTAAAACATTATCATTAAACAAAGAAGAAAATCAAAATATTGATCCTTATTTTTAATCCAATCTAAACTTCAGCTACATAATGCCTTATCAAAGATGTCAGCTACTGTACAATATATTAAAAAATAAGGACAAGACAGTGATGATAGTCTGTTATTGTTTACATGGATGATTTCCAAAGCAGCAATCCATATAAAATAAATAGACAACACTTGTTCATATTATTTAATGAAATATGTATGAATGAAAAAAATGCTGCCTAAATACACACAATTTAAATATATATATATATATATATATATATATATATATATATATATATATATATATATATATATATATACACACATACACACATTGATAATTATTATATGGTTTGATTATTATTCTTGTCCTTCCCAACAGACAACAAAGGTTGGAAGGGATAAGGTGGAGAATGAGAAGATACAGGAAAAGACTGAGAAAAGAGCGGAGGAATGAGATTATGGATAATCTTAGGTATCAACAACTTTTGTGAATCCAGTGAGTTACATGTGATTCTCTAAAAATGTTTTCTATAAAGAGAAAAAATAAAGAGGTAATAATTACCACCCATATTTACTAAAGCAGCCCGTTGTACATTCGGCACCCAACCACTCCACAATCCTCTGACACCACCTTCAGCAGCTATTTTCTGGAATGCATGTGTGGTACTCTTTATTCTGCAATAAAATTTCATATTTTTTTCCATTTATCCAGAAAGGTAGAATCAATTCTTTGAATATGACATAGTAGTTATTGACAAAGCATAGCTTAGTTTGGGCCACTTAGTAAGGATCAAACTTTCTATTTAGTAGACAAGGAAACCAGTTTGCTAAGGATAATAAATAGTGCCTTTTTATTTTTGTTATGTAAAAATCAGTTACAATGCATTTATATAGTAATTCTATACACAATGTTTATCCACAGTCAGTTATATACCATGTGTGATACATGCTTAGGCAATCATGTATCTTTTGATACATGACTGACGAAGCAGATTTTTTCCCCACAGTAGACCAGTTGCCATCCAAAGCTATAGAACCTGGTCTGTCCTGTTATTTACCCATAGCTGGGGGGAGAAGAAGAGGATTCATACCTTTCCTAAGGGTATTACCATGTAAGTGAATGTAATGGACTCGACTGGAATTCGAATTTGGCTCTCCGATTCCTCAATCTGAGCCGTTATCCATTATTCCCCTGTGCCTCCCCCCTGTTTTTCCACACTAAAATCAATAACACTGCATTTATAGAATATATATAACCCCAATGTTCTGTCAATAACATTGTTGTTAATTCCTGACTACTGACAATGCCTTTCTTCCTGATGTTCATTTCACAACTGATTGCAATATTTGAGAAAGCCAGTCTTAGGTCAAAAATTGTAAAATTAATGAGGGGCCAATCATAAAATTTAATTTCTTAGTGCTAATGACTTAATATTAGTTATTGACAAAATATGGGTGTTATATATGTTATGTAAGAATGTGCAGGTCGTGCAATGGAATGAGAAATCAGAGAACAGAGTTCAAATTCCATTCAAGTTCATTATATTCACTTGTGCACAAAAACCCTTGGATATGGAATGAATCCATCTCTTCTATTCTTAGCTATGGATCAAATAGTAGGACAGACTGGGTTCTATAAACTTGGTTAGAATATTCTAGAGATGGTGACTCGCTAAAAACCCGACCCCATAGAAAACTGGGCCACTCATGAGAATTTGTCAGCCAATAAAAACACAGTGATTGAAATTCTTCAGTTGTAGGAGTTGCATATTCTGCTGCAAATGGAGAATGATCCATTATTTTTGTGCAGAAAAATATTGTGGATAGTTTTACTATAGAAATGTACTGTAACTGATTTTTATATAAAAATAAAAAGGCAACATTCATATATTTATAACTCTACAAACAACCTTCCCTTTCTTAGATCAATACTGACCAAGAATGAGTTATTAAAATTTTTCTTTGTAGGATGGAGGCAAAATTTTCTATGACCTTCAGATTTTTTATTTTTATATACTCAAGTTCCCTCAATACAATGAGAACCACTCAAGGTAGAGATTTATTGAATGAGGTAAGTGAGATAAATAAAAGAAACTGGGAGGAGGTGAAAATTATGAAGATAAGGACAGATAATGACTGACCTTTGACTTGAAAAGATTGATTGTAATGTTTAGAGAAGTATCCACAGTTTTTGGGAAAAAGCTGTCTGAACAGAACTTTTTCATTACAGCTGGAATATGAAGAAAATAATGATGATTTAACTCTGTGAGCATAGCAATGCATGTTCTAGATGTAAAGGTCTGAACTGGTAGAACTAAAAAAATGGAATTCATCTGAACAGTTGCCATTGAAATTGTGATAGAATAGCAAAGTTTGTGCAGAGCAGAAAATAAGTCAACCCCCATCATTCAGAATCAATAATTTCAATCAGTTTCCTATAACATAAATAATTTGCACATGCCTCCCTGGTTTTTTGTACAGGACCAGAGGTTTAACCCTGGTTTTCTGTTTCAGATTGGGTTTCCAGTTCCTTCTATAGTCTACTTCAACTCTATACTTCTGACATATCTGCCTATAACACTGAAATTTTATTTACTATTTATTTACTTTTTTCTTTTCTCAATGGGAGTAGATAGGTTAGCCTATTGTCCAGTTTACACTCCTTGCTGGTCTTTTGAACAAGACTAGAGGTTTATCCCTTGTTTTCTGTTTAGAATTGGGTTTCCAGTTCCTTTTAAAGTCTTCTCATTCTTTTTCACTCCTAGTAACCCCTTGCATCTTAGTGGTGTTATTGCCTTGCTTGAAGCGAAATTAGAACAAAAAGAGGAAATTAGTTAATATTCTTTCTGATGTTAAATGTATTAAAGTTGGTATTAGCTTGCTTGTTTCATATGGAATCATTAGAATGGATGTTGGTTTTTACAAATTAATTTTTTTTAAACCCTGCAATAAACATATAATATCTATGTAGAAATGAGTCAAGACCCATTAGGGTTGTAGAGGAACCAACTGTATTGCAGATGAAGCAGCAGTGGTATGTCTCGAGCAAGATACCCTGACAGAGCCCAACTCTCTCTAGGCAGGTTTGAATTTAGTTTTCCTTCTCCTAGACTGGTTGCCAACCAAGGCTATAGGGACCATTCTGTCCTGCTATTTACCCATAGTTGAGTGGGGAAGAAATGGATTCATACCTTTCCCAAGCATATTTGCTCATAGTTGAATGTAATGAACTCAACTGGAATTTGAACTCTGCTCTTTGATTTTTCATTCTCATCCACTATGCATCTACCAACAGGTGTGAGTACATGCATTTATAAGCATATATAACAAATTTTATTACATGTAAGTGAATACATTCATCTGAGGGTATATCAATAAGTTTGTAACCAGGCACTTAGTTATTAGTTGAATTTTGATAAATACACAGACACGGTGTCCACTGACAAGGCAAGGGATAGAACATATTTTAAACATGAAATCAATAATTCAAAAGAACCCTTGTAAAGGTAATAACATCTCTCAGAAATAGTATAGGTAATGTAACAAATATTGGCATTAAAAATAAATTCAGCAAGGAGAGTTCAAATTCTGGCCCAATCTGTTGTGTTCACTTCACATTTATATTCCTGAGAAAACTACTGATACCACTCTTCTCCCCTCAGCTAAGGGTTAAATGGCAGGGTAGAATGGATTCTCTAACCTTGAGCAGCAATGGAAAGTTGAATCAGTGATGAGAATTCAAATTCTGGCCCAATCCGTTGTGTTCAGTTCACACTTATGCTCTTCAGAAAAGGCACAGATCTGTCTCTTCTTCCAACTAAGGGTTTGTGGTGGACGTCACCACTTTAATTTAACTTTAGATTAGGAAACAGGGCTGACGCAGAAAAGGACAAGCAAAAGACATTGTTACACATAAAATATGTACTTAACGACATGTAAAATATCAAACAATGATGTGAAAGAAAGCATGCATTTAAGTAAGAAAAGGTTGAAATAAATAAGAGTTGTCTCTCTTTAGCTGTTATTTTAGCATTTCAAAGTTCACTGGAATAATGTTCATGAGAGTTTCTGATAATGACTGTTCTTAAAAGATTTGCCGTGTTAGAAAAGATTATGTGAGTATATACAAGGTATGTTCAGCATGTGAGTGGTGTGCGTGAGTGAAAAGGTTGGCGCATGGTTTCAGCTGTTGTGGATTCGTTTGGGAACTGAATTCACACTAATTAGCTAAGAAAAATTCTTGCTTAAATAAGTGACTATAGGCTCCAGATTGCTGCACAGGAAGAATTATTCTTCACGTGCAGACGATCTGATTGTTTGTCAGCGACCAATCAGTGAGCGAGCTTTGGGGAGACTTGGGAAAGCTTCTGTGATCCGTTTCTCCCAAAAGTGCACAAAACTGACTACATGAAAATAGAGCGATTACAAAATTGTCGCATTGCTGCGATTTGTAATTTGTCTATAATAACATAGTGGTTATTAATTAACCAATGAATGCTTGGCGTTGCATGTGATTTGTATTTGTATATAAGTATGTATGTTTTTGTGTGATAGACTCGCACAGATTAAATAGCCTTGTGTAGGAATAGAAAGTATAAACAGCAAGGAGAGTTCAAACTCTGGTTCAGTCTGTTGTGTTCACTTCAAACACATCCTTTAGAAATGCATGAATTCGTCTCTTCTCCCAGCTGAAGGTTAGATTTCAGAGTAGACTAGGCTCTCAAGTCAATATAACCCAGTGGTTGTTACTCAAGGTTAAGCAACCAGTGCAAGAATCAGAATTTTAAACTGTAGAGAAGGCAATGGGAAACCACTCCACTGTGTTTTTCAAGCATCCATAGCAATTCACATTTAATAAAGGAAAAGAAATCTGTGGAGAGTCATGATTGTCAATGTCCTGAAGAAACATGACCAAAAAAATAAAAAATAAAAATAAAAAAAAAGCAATCATATTGAATCTATTCTACATTGTCAAATTCCAAAACAAGAGACATTTTGTGATCAATGAAACATTCATACCTTGGTGGCTTTCCAGCAAGACGGCGTTTCCCATCCATCTGCATTTGCACCTTAACAAGATCAGTTGGACTTGCAAGAAACTGGCTTATCATACCAGAAACCATTCCACAGCAACCAGCTTTCCTGGAGAAAATTCCAGTGGCAAAATTAAAATATAGAACAAGACATGGTCTATGGTATGTGTTTGGAAAAATAAATTTACAAGATTAATCAGTCTGTCATCTTTTTTTTTTTTTTAAATCATTTCACCCCAAGCAAGGTG